CAAAATAAACTTCACATAGTGGGCACCAGCAGCAGAGGGTTCTGCCTAGGAGTAAAAACCTTCACTGAAGGTTGGGCGCAGTGGCTCATGCCTGTAATCCCAGCACTTTGGGAGGCCGAGGCGGGCAGATCACGAGGTCAGGAGTTCCAGACCAGCCCTGCTAACACAGTGAAATCCCGATTCTACGAAAAATATAAAAATTAGCTGGGCATGGTGGTGTGCACCTGTAATCGCAGCTACTCAGGAGGCTGAGGCAGGAGAATCACTTGAACCCAGGATGGGGGAGGTTGTGGTGAGCCGAGATGGCGCCACTGTACTCCAGCCTGGGCAACAGAGCGTGACTCCGTCTCAAAACAAAACAAAACAAACCAAACCCTCCACTGAGATGCGTTCCCCACATGAGCTCCTCTCTCAAAGGAAAGGCAGGCATCCAGCCCAGACCCTGCCCTGGGCCGCTCACGGCACCATTTCGGTCGCCGCAAACACTGAGCCACAGTCACTCTGAGTTCACAGAAGTGCCCGTCGTCATTTCACATGGTTCCCACGAAAGCTGGGGGGAGCAGTAAAATACTATATGGCCCCTTTTGATGGATTAGGAGAAACACATTTATGCTAGAAACTGCCAAGATCTCATGATTTAAAAAATTAAATCATGTGTGACATTAAAAACCCCAGTGAAGCTGCCATAATGCCTCAAATAAGATGCAGTCCTGAGGGCACCGCAGCCTTCCCGGGCCCCAACGCCTGCTGGGCGCGTCGTGTGTTTGAGCGGATGGCGGCTCAGTCTGCAGGGGAGGTGGGGGCCTTAGGGAACACGGAGCGAGTCCCTGGGAACCCGCCTTAAAAAGCCCGCAAACTAGTCTCCACAGGCAGGTCTGAGATGGAAAACCAAACCTTGAAAACCCCATTATTTTCACTACAGCAATAAAGACTGTGTTACCCACAACAGTGCTGACTTTCTGTTGCGGTTGTAATGGCAAACAGTGACCAGAATCTAGAGACTTTCTCCTGAGAATGAGAAGCAAGTACTGAGGCCGGAGTGTCCAGCTCTGAAGTATTAACCCATGAAGTATTTTCTGCTTAGGAGACCACGTGCCATGCAACTAGAGCGTGCAGATGAGACTCATGGGGCCTGCGTCACAGATGGCATCAACACACAGATGAGGACGGGGCAGGGCCAAGCTCCAGCATCACAGTTCGTCAAAGTCCAGTGCAAAACCCAGGGCACGTCTGCCATCACCACAGACGTTTGTAAGGGGAGCAACCAAAAAGAATACACAAAGTTACTCGAGAACATTCAGGAAAAGTTGAGAAAAAGCAAAAGAGAACAATACGTACTTTGGAAGAAACACGAGTTTTATACAGTATGTACAGCAGTGAAACTGGGCCAGGTTTGTCAACATAAACCACCAACTCTGGATTTGTAATATAACAATTTTATGCAATTGTTTCAATAAGTTATTTTCATAAGTTATCTCTAAGTAAATAAAATCAGCCCTTCTGATTCGTGTGTGTGTGCGTGTGCATGTATGGTTTCTCGAGTTTCGAGGCTGCTGATTTTGAATGCGTGTGTGCTGGGGTCTTGGAAAATTCTAACTGAGACCTGTCCGCACCCCTTTACCTGTGGCCCTTCAGTACAAGGCCAGACACACAAGGCAGCGTCAGGCAGGGCTGGGCCTTGCAAACCTCCCCAGGTTTACCGTGTTACTGTTTTAAAACAAGTATCAGTTTTTTAACCGCACTTTCAACATAAATTCAATTAGTTAAAGTAGATACCTCTAGCTATCTACCTCAATTAAGGACTATACAGTTTTTTAGACTGCAATCTTAAAACAGCATTTCTATGTAAGCATGAATAAATACTGCTAGAAAAATGCTGGCTGCCTGTTTGAGGTGGGCTCAAGGACTTACACTTAGAAATGGCGCTCACTTTTCCTATTGTTTGAGTTTCTTGATTGTAGTTTTACCAGAGTATACAAACCAATATGTTGTTCTATAGGTAAATATCTACTTTTCACTTTATATTCATGTAGAACTTTTTATTAAATGTCAGAGAAATTTTAAAACCAACTTAGATAACTGTGTACATCTCTTATTAAAAGAAATAAATTGTTCAGCAAAATATTTTCTGGAGAGTTGAAGGAAAGCTTGAGAATTCTTAGAGTGGCAAAGATTCGGACAAGAGATTTTCTGAAAAAGACTTCCTTTATAAGAGGCACTGTTATAATCAGGCACACAGAACATGAAGGAACAACTGTCACGGTAATTGATCATTTAGACCAGTGTACATAAAACCCAAAGACCACGACACCGGAAGCCCCCCCGGACCATGGTGCCCGGGCAGCTGGAACTGCCGGGAGCTCCAGGAGGTCCAGCCATTGGCACAGACTCGCCAGGGCACACTGGCACCCACTGCTGGGACAGGAAGGAGGGTTAGTTGTTAACGAGGCAGAATTCAGCTAAGTTTTAATGATGAAAGGCTGGGCCTACAGACACCTCATACAAAGAAAGAGGATGACAAAATGTCATCCTTAACCTATTTCCAATTGAATTTCCTTTTAGAACTAATTTCATGAGAAAAAGGGAAATATTGTTTGAGTTACAGCATCTATGACGTCTGAGAGAGAGAGCACAGTCTTGGCTTGTATTTAAGCTTTCTTTTTACCACAGTATATTCATAAGACTCAGATCTTATTTAAAAAGCAGAGAAAAAAAGTCAATTCTGTGGTAAAAACGTTATGGGGCAAAATAAGTAGTTGTACAAGAGGAGGGTTACAAAGTTTAAAAGTACTTTTTATTGCAGGCATTTTCATATACAGTGTTAGTGAAATCAAGTCCCCCCCGCTCCCATGATGAAGACATACTCCTATCTTATAAAAACATTCAAGTAACCCTGGACATTTTCATGTTACTCTCTTTTTTAGTACCTGGGGATTGGCTTTGGCTAGATTTTCTATTTTAACCCATGCTTCTTCCCGTTCTTTCATTTTTAGCTTCTCTCTGAAAAACAGCAAAACGTCATCTGTGTTAGAGATGAATCACACACCAGAACACGCCATGGGCACAGCACAGGCATGGTCAGCAGCAGCGGCTCCTCCCGCGGCCCTCTCCGTCAATCGCCACACTCACCACAGTGCTGAGCACACACGAAAAACAAACCAAGATTTAAACCTAGAAAGTATTAAAGTGCTAAAAATTCAACATGTCCAAGAACTGGAACTCTTCAAAGAAACCTTACATAAGTAAGTCTTAGGTCTCCATCCTTCCCCTTCCCCTGGTTAGTCATTTCTTTATGGGACCTATATGATTTTGATGAGAGGTCATACCTCCACTGAAAAACAAGACTGCAGTACAGTGGAAAGGGACCAGTGTAAAAGGAGCCAGCATTCCCATTCTGACAATATTAAAAAGGAAAAGTCATAGGAGCCAGGAGACCTGGGTTGTTGACTGACTTCACTGAGAGTCACATGACTCTCAGTAAATCACTTAACTCGGATCCAAGTTTTTTTTTTTTTTTTTTTGAGACAGGGTCTCACTTTGTCACCCATACTGGAGTAAAGTGGCATGATCTAGGCCCACTGCAACCTCCACCTCCCAGGCTCAAGCGATTCTCCTGCCTCAGTCTCCTGAGTAGGTGGGATTACAGGCACGTGCCATTATTACCCAGCTAATTTTTGTATTTTTAGAAGATACAGGGTTTCACCATGTTGGCCAGGTTAGTCTCGAACTCCTGACCTTAAATGATCCACCCGCCATGACCTCCCAAAGTGCTGGGATTACAGCATGAGCCACCACGCCTGGCCAGGATCCCAGTTTTTTAACCCAGAAAATGTACGACACAACCTTTAAGGTCCTGTTGGGAATGCTGTGGGATTCCAGGAGAGGAAGATCCGCCATCAGAAAGCCCTGCTGCAGGCATGCTTCCTATCCATCTGCACACTGCACTGAGCGCCCAGAGAACGGGCCGCGCAGCTGGCGCTTGAGAGGAATGGCTGCCTGTCTCCCCGGGCCCGGTCCTAATTTATTTGTCATCATCTCTCACACTCTGTGTGTTCACTTATTTCTATTTTGCGTTTTTTTCTCTTTCCACCCTACCCAGAATATAAACCCCAAAAGGGCATGGATTTTTGTGGGTTTTATTCACTGCTATATTGCCAGAATCTAAAACAGGGCCTGGTGTATAGGTAAATATTCACATATTTGTCAAAGGAGTGAGTAAATGGCACTTGTTATATATATATATATATATATATGCACACATAATACACACACACACAGATAACATATACACATTGTATTTTGAACCACATTTGTGCAAACCTTATCTGCCTTAGCCAGTTTTAAGTGACAAGCGAAGAATAACATCTGCCCGTAATCCATACTCAACTTGGAAGAAGCGACCGCTGACAACTACTTAATCACATTGTTATTTGCACGGCCTAGGGACGAAGTACCTTGTCAGTTAGACCACCCCCCAACAGATGTGGGCTCAAAGGCATGAAAGCAGGACCCTGACTTTGCAAAGAACAGACTAGATTCCAAAGAACACCCAAATTGATGGACTTCATTAAGTCAGAATAAAGCTACATTGATAGGAAGATTGTTGCCCTCTTGTATAAACTTTATAGGATATAATTCAAATCCCTGCCTTATAAACATGAAAAATGACTATACATTATAGCCTTTAAACCCATTATAGCCTTTAAACCCATTACAGCCCAAGAAAAGAACAAATTCTGAATGTTAAATTCTTGCCCACATAAGCACTTTTTGCAAAGATGATTAATCTAGCAGTGCCAAGGAGGAGAAGAGCTAACCAGAAACACCTGTTCTTTCAAAGTAAGTTATTATAACACAGTCTTAATTTCCTTTCCAAGTATGAGAGGCCTGGTTTTGCCTTCACGCGAAGAATAACTTTTTAGGACAAAACAATGGACGAGCCTTATTTAGGATTAACAAAAAAATCCTGGAAACAGTAACTTGTGAAGGGAACAACTCACTTTAGTTTCTCTGCTTTGAACTGTTGCGTGCAGTCATCAAATAGCTTTTGGTTCATCTCCATGAAGAGCTTCAGGGCGTTGTATATCAAGCCATGTATTGTCCTGGAAAGACGAGTGCACGGTGAGCCTGGGGGCACGTGCTCCCGCACAGCCCTCGCCCTCCGCACACCTAGGCTGCTCCAGGTTCCCAGCCCACACCGCACCGTTTCCCTCAGCTCTAACTGCAAGGCCTGCCCATTCCCAGTTACTCGTTTTCTGACAGTCAGCCACACACCTGAGACTTTCCTCACAGTGGCTCCCACACAGCCACGGAGGTCACTCTGCTTACTGTCCCCAGCTGACAGTAGCCAAAACCACCTTGCTCAGAAACTAAACTGAATTAAAAATGTTGAGACTTGAACAAACACAATTAAGATGAAATTATAAAGAGGACAATAATGGCAATAGTTTATTTCCTATAAATGTCAGTTTCTTTTCATCCTATTCCCTGAGGACAGAAAAATTAATTTTAATAATGCCAAAACAGAGCTTTGAAAGAGAAAATAAAATTAGCATAAAACAGCTTAATCAAAGCTTAGCTCTCAGGCTCTGACACACAGGGAGAGGGAAAGAGGCCAAATGGTCCCAGCTGAGCCTCCAGGTGACTCTAGTCCCAGCTGCCATCAGATTGCAACCACGTAAGAGCCCCGAACCCCCAGCAGACACCAGCAGAAACCTGAGCAGCAGAGCCTGGTCAGCCCACAGGATTGTGAGCAATAGTTGCCGGGAGTTAAAAAACAAATACCAAAAAACATAACCCTCAAATCGCACTTACTTCTTAATCCACTTTATAATATAATCCAAACAGTACTTAGGAAATACTTAAAAGAACGTTTTTTTTTTTTTCTTTGCAATGGGCAGGAATTGAAAGTCAGTTATTCATTGTGCTAACTTGCACACCATACTAAATTATACACAACAAATATGGCTACACTCCAGGAGTTTTTGTTGTCCTTGTTGAGCTCAATTAAAAAAAAAATCGGATGGACGTGGAGGCTCATGCCTGTAGTCCCAGCACTTTGGGAGGCCGAGGTGGGTGGATCACGAGGTCAGGAGTTCAAGACCAGCCTGGCCAAGATGGTGAAACCCCATCTCTCCTAAAAAAATACAAAAATTAGCTGGGCATGGTGGCAGGTGCCTATAATCTCAGCTACTGGGGAGGCAGAGGCAACGAACTGCTTGAACCCAGGAGGCGGAGGTTACAGTGAGCTGAGATTGTGCCACTGCAGTCCAGCTCCGGCGACAGAGCAAGACTCCATCTCAAATAAATGAATGAATAAATACAAGCCAGGCGTGGTGGCTCATACCTGTAATCACAGCACTTTGGGAGGCCGAGGCGGGTGGATCACAAGGTTAGGAGTTCAAAATCAGCCTGGGCAAGATGGTGAAACCCTGTCTCTACTAAAAAATACAAAAATCAGCTGGACATGGTGGCACACGCCTGTAATCCCAGCTACTCAGGAGGCAGAGGCAGAGAACTGCTTGAACCTGGGAGGTGGAGGTTGCAGTGGGCTGAGATTGTGCCACTGCACTCCAGCCTGGGTGACAGAGTGAGACTCTGTCTCAAAAAAGAAAAAACGCAAAACAGGCACAGTGGCTCATGCCTATAATCTCAGCACTTTGGGAGGCCGAGGCAGGTGGGTCACTTGAGGTCAGGAGTTCAAGACCAGCCTGACCAACATGGTGAAACCCCATCTCTACTACAAATATAATAATTATCTGGGCATGGTGGCTCGTGCCTGCCTGTAGTTCTAGCTACTTGGGAGGCTGAGGTAGGAGAATTGCTTGAACCTGGGAGGCGGAGGCTGCATGATCTCATGAGCCAAGATCATGCCACTGTGTGGCCTCCTAACTCCCAGTGTCTGTTGGGGCAGCCTGGGCAGCCACAGAGCAAGACTCCATCTCAAGACAACAAATGCTCCACAAAACAGGCTGTTGGGGTGGATGTGCTACTAAGAACTGCAACTCCCACGCTATTGCCTCGAGGGTCACGGCTGCTGGCCCTATAGCCACAAAGTGACAGCCAATGCTTACTCGGTGCCTATCATAAGCCTGGTACTTTATGCATATTAGCTTTATATGAATCCTCACAGCCAAGTGAAGATTGTTGCAAGGCAAAGCAGTTGACTTTCTCAGTTTTTCCGAAGAGGAAACTGTGGCTGAGAAAGAGCTGGTGAGAGCGAACTTGCCTGCGTTTGGACAGCTGGTCAGGAGGAGGACAGGAATGTGAACCAAAGTCACCCTTCCTCTGATCTGCCTGCCCTTCTCTGCTCAATTCCTGGGAAGCAACTCTAAGAGGATCTGATGCTGGTGGACCGGCTGGACCATCGCCCTGGGGTCTGGCTCAGAGCTCCAGGGCTAACACCTGTCTGGCTGCCGCCCTGCGGAATTCTGGGAAGGAGGTAGTGCCACCTGCAGCCGTGAGAGGGTAGGGAGAGAGGGTGTGTGGGCGAGGGCTGGTGCGCCGGCAGCAGGCTGTGCAGCACAGCAGGAGGGGTGCCCCAACAGACACTTGGAGTTAGGAGACCGCACTGGGCCAGAGTGCCGCTCCCCAGCTTCGTGAGCGCAGACTGGACTGCGACGCTCGCCAGGTCTTCCCTTCCTCACCTGGAAACTACGGGAGGAGAGCTGGATAGCACGGCTCTGCTCTTCTTTAAGTTCTGAGTTATAATTACAATATACAAAGGAAAGAGATGAAAGAAGGTGGGGAGAGAAAAACTCAAGATACTCCTATTTCTTTAAATAACAGGAGTATTAGATGATACCATACTAATAAACAATACGGCCAGGTGCAGTGGCTCACACAGTCCCAGCACTTTGGGAGGCTGAGGTGGGCCGACCACTTGAGCCCAGGAGTTCGAGACCAGCCTGGGCAACATGGCAAAACCTCATCTCTACAAAAAATACAAGAATAGTCCTAGCTACTCGGGACGCTGAGGCAGGAGGTTTGCTTGAGCCCAGGAGGTGGAGGCTTAAATGAACCATGATTGTGATTAGACTCTAGCTTGGGCGATACAGCAAGACCCTGTCTAAAAATGAACAAATAAAATTCAAAATTAAAAAAAGACAAATAAATAAGAAATGTGGCACCCAAATCAACTGTTTCTTTTTTTAGAGTCTCAGAAGACTATTGCTCAGTAAACAGATTTATTCATCCTCTTTAAGTCAAAAGATGAAAGAGCAGAGTAGAAGGAAATGCTTTTGGCTCCTGGGGATGTGGGGATGTGTTAGGGTCGCCTGCCTCCCTCTTCTTCTCCGGGTAGTAACCACCGTGGGGTGGTTTTTGGGGTTCACAGAGGGGCTCATCTAGGGTGCACGTCAGCGAAGCTCAAGAGACACGCTGAGAATGCGGCGGCCACTGTGCTCCTGCGGGGGCTGAGCCCCACCAGCTCTGCAGAGACCTTCAGCTCCTCTGACGGATGCTCAGGAAGAGGCCTGGAAGCTGCTTCTACTGGAAGGTGGCTGCAAACCAATGCGCCTCTAGGTGGTCACATGAAAGGCCACAGACGCAACCCACACTGCGACTTAATTTATGGGTCCACAAAGCAATTGACATTGCTGTTTTTTTTTTTTTTTTTGAGACAGAGTTTCACTCTTGTTACCCAGGCTGGAGTGCAATGGCGCGATCTCGGCTCACCGCAACCTCCGCCTCCTGGGTTCAGGCAATTCTCCTGCCTCAGCCTCCTGAGTAGCTGGGATTACAAGCACGTGTCACCATGCCCAGCTAATTTTTTTTGTATTTTTAGTAGAGACGGGGTTTCACCATGTTGACCAGGATGGTCTCGATCTCTTGACCTCGTGATCCACCCGCCTCGGCCTCCCAAAGTGCTGGGATTACAGGCTTGAGCCACCGCGCCCGGCGACACTGCTGTTTTTTAACTGATATTTAAAATTCAGATTTTTACTCTAACTGAAGTAGCAGCAAAACGTGCCACATTTTAAGATGACTGCAGAAGACGGCAGCCAGTTCTTTCTTACTTGTTCCAGTGGGTCTTTGAGTTGCGGTACAGGGAGGGAAACATGATGGGCAGAATCTTCGCTGCGTTGTCACTGATCAAACTCATGATGTATTCGTTGTTCCAGTAATAGAGCGCTCGCTCTGCCACCTGAAAAACAAACGCGGGTGACTTGCTGGAGGTTGTGCCTGAGACACGGGGCAGCTGTCTTTGCTGTTACACCTGTGAGTCGGGTAATGAATTACCTTGGACCAGAAAGTTACGATTATTTCTATAAATTCAAAATATTCTAGACTGTCACCCTGAAGAGGCTTCAACAAAGAGGAGGATAATTTCCTGTACATCAAGGAATCAAGAACACTGTCACATATTTCTCCACTTATTCAATAAACATTTATGCTGGACGCTGGTTAGATGCTGAGGAGACTACTCAAAGGAGGTTGTTCCACCCATCGGCCCGCCTCCCCTGGTCAGCTCTAGTGTGTGTGTTGTGTTCTGCTGAGCGTTCAGCACTGAGCAAGGCAAGGCAGAAATCCCTGCCTCCATGGAGCTCACATCCTTGTGGGGAGGAGACAGGTGATGGATGATTATTAATTTACAAGAAACGGTTAAGTCACATGCAAAGAGCAGCAGGGCAGGGGGACAGGCAATGTGTGTGGGGTTGGGTGGCTTCAGTGCAGAGGAGGTGACTTCTGAGTGAGGACCAGAGGGAGGAGAGGTCCAGAGTTGTCAGCAAGGGGCTGGCTGAGGACCACTGCAGAGGGCAGTAAGGGCATGAACGAGAGCAGGTAGGGGAACAGGGCCCGAGTGCATTGGCCCTTACTCACGGGAAGCCACTGGCGGTTCCCCTATGTTTTTTTTTTTTTTGAGACAGAATTTCACTCTGTCACCCAGGCTAGAGTGCAGTGGCCCCATCTTGACTCACTGCAACCTCCACCTCCTGGGTTCAAGTGATTCTCCTACCTCAGCCTCCCAAGTGGCTGGGATTACAGGCATGCACCATCACGCCTCACTAATTTTTGTATTTTTAGTAGAGATGAGATTTTGTCATGTTGATCAGGTTGGTCTTGAACTCCTGACCTCAGGGGAAAAAAAATCTAAAAATTAAGAATGAGCAGGGTACAGTGGCTCATGCCTGTAATCCCAGCACTTTGGGAGGCTGAAGTGGGCAGATTTACGAGGTTGGGAGTTTAAGACCAGCCTCGTCAATATTTTGAAACTCCATCTCTACTAAAAATAGAAAAATTAGCTGGGGTAGTGGTACACGCCTGTGGTTCCAGCTACTTGGAGGCTGAGGCAGGAAAATCACTTGAACCTGGGAGGTGGAGTTTGCAGTGAGCTGAGATTGTGCTACTGTACTCCAGCCTGGGTGACAGACCAAAACTCTGTCTAGAAAAAAAAAAAAAAAAGAATTAGTTGGCCTTATGTATATGTGTCTGGAAAAAAATCTGGAATGTACTCTGTGCTGATCAAGTCCTCCAAGAAGCAGAAGCCAAGATGGGTGCAAGCATGTTTGAGAGACACGGATGAGGGTGAGGAGGGGGCTGGGCCTGCAGCTGAAGGCCAAGGGGGTCCTGGCGCTGATCTCCTTGATTGGAGGCGTGGCGGGCTGCCCTGGCAGCCCTCATGCTCCGTTCTCTGCAGGGACATGAAGGTTTCTGTGACCTGTAGAGCAGCAGTCAAGCCCCTGGCAGCTGCACAGCCCCCGTGGCTCTGCTGTCCCCACCTGGAATTCTCTTCCTCCTTGCCCTGTCACATGCTTTTATTCAAAACAGCACATCATGAGTTCGCTGGTCCCTGTCTTCTCTTCCAAGTATAAAGTTACCTATATCGATAGCTCATTTTTCATTTGGGGAAGGGGTTCGAATTTTCAGGACACTCCCCACAACTGCCAGTCTCTCCTTGGCATGCCAACACCCTGTGCTACGGCCAGGCTTCTGTGGCGCTAGTCTCTGTGGTTTCTAGGAAACCATGTTCCTTTGTGCAAAGTGCTTGCACTGAAAGTCTTGAAAAACACTATTTTCTCTGTAGGCCAGGATTGATGAAAAAAAAAAAAAACCCACAAAACCCAAAATATCATTTTCCTTTCCTAGTTCCTAATGTGAAAACTCACAGAAGTTTATAAAGTGAAAATAAGCTGAATGTTTGTAACAGAAGAGATGACACCACGGTGGCGCCTTCCGTGAACCCGGCTCAGCCTGGCCTCATTCACTGTGGTGCCCAGGCTCCAGGGCGCCTCACTCTTCTACCACTTGCCTTCTTGTCTTAGTTTTGTCTTTTCAAAACCATCTTGAAAGGTTCAATTCGGAGGACCTCACTCTTGCGGACCTTTTCTAGCCACTTAAGACTTGTGTGAAGGTAGCTGCCCACGTGCTTCTGAAAGCCTGCTGCACACGCCACCTGGCCCTTCACGGTCAGCTGTAAAGTGGTGGTATGCCACGGTCACCCTCTCCCACTGTGGGGCCTGCTCCCTGGGCACTGGGAGGCCCTGCTCATTTTGTGCCTATTTTCACTTTGTTCATGATGAGTGCACAATACATGTCCGCTCAGTGATGCAAAAGGACAGGTGGTGAGCACGTCCGACAGAGGCAGGCAGGCCGGGAGGGCCGGTGGGGGACAGCCTTCGAAAGAGGCGATGAGCCGAGGCTGGCTTAAGGGTTAAGGAAATTGGGGAAAGGAAGTGGAAGGAGGCTCTGACAATGGCAGTCCTCTGGCACAGGAATGCGGCAGTGACACAAGTCAGAGCTATTATTCCAAAGGGTAAAGGAGACAGATTTACACAATGTGAGGAATCACGCGCCTCAGCAGCAAGAGCTCTCAGAGCCGAGGCTCCGATCACCTGCCGTCTCTCAATAGTGATGCTCAGATGTGGAAAAGAAGGTTTTATGAACTTGGAAGCACACTGAACATGAAGACAAGATGGCTTTATAGAGACGCCAGATGACTGGTCTCACTGAGAAAAAATATTCGGCAGAGGGGACAAGACGTGCAAGGGCATTCTACAGAATCCCAGTTGCACATTGTATTTGAAGGATAATTAAAGTAAAAACTTGGATTTTACCTTTAAATTGCATGAGAAGCACACCATGGCCAGCTACACATGGAACTTCTCCTTTCCAAAACAAATGTGGAAATCATTAGAATCGGCTCTCCCTGAGCCCCACATACCTGGAAGTGTGGGCTGGAGACACACTTTGCCAACTGCCGGAAGAGGGGCTCCATGATCTTCACAAATTCTGATGGCTCAATTACATCTAAAATCTCTTCTAATTCATTTAAGAACATTACTTCTTTTGGACTGTGAGTCTTTGGCCAGTATTTGAGAAGTGCCATCACCACCTACAAAAGAAATGACACATGGAGTGCCTGATGCCCACGAGGCCCCCACACCTGCAAGCAAGTCCGTCTGCTTCCACGGAGGTGGCCCCGCTGCCAAGCAACCCGGGAAGATGGTGCCACCTTCCTTAAAGGAGGAACAGGGACTCAGTAATTGTACGTGATTGTCTATAGTTAGAGAAATGGGTATGTCTGTCTGGTTATCTAACCATTTGATCAATCAATGTATTTAGAGATGGGTCACACTATGTTGTCCAGGCTGGGCTTGAATTTCTGGGTTCAAGGGATCCTCCTGCTTCAGAACTGAGTAGCTGGGACAACAAGCATGCACCACCTGCCTGGCTTAACTTTACATACTTCGGAAATTACACATTTTAACTTATATAACCCCTCTCTCTGATCAAACACTATTTCAGTAAGAGTCCTTTCCTTTTAGTAAAAAAAGAAAAAACAATAAGCAGTTAGGATAGTTTAGAAAAAATAAGATCAATGGAGAAAACACAGAGCATATCAATTCATATGAGTATTTAATGTGGAAGTGGCCGGTACTGAAACTGTCTGCCAAATATACATAATCCATTTCTTTCCCAAATTTACCAACCATCCATATGTATTTATACACAAACATAGATGCTTTCGTATGCATAGACTGTTTTCAGCTATGTTAAAATATATCAAAGAGTGGTGTGAACTGAGCTGACCTTGTTAACCCACACCTGCAGGTGCTGTGCCGGGACCCCGGGCAGGGCCTGCTGTGCTGTCTGGGCGCACACCTGCGGGCGTCCACTACAACTGCCTGAGCAGTACTGGGCCTGCAGTGAGCAGGCGGCAGTGGTAGCTGTAGCCAGGACGGCCACCACCCAGGGGGTCTGTGCTACCAGCTCTCTGCCAGGCACAGCCCGATTTTCCCTGCTTGTGGATAGTGGATGGTTTATGCTCCTTGGCCAAGTCAGACAGCTAGAAAGGATTTCCACTGGGCAACCTTTCTTTCTTTATATGTTCCTGTAGTTACCAAATGTCCTACCACAATCACACCAGTACAAAATACTCAATCTGACTCAATGCAGATTGAATAATATTTTTAGACTTTAGCCATCTTAGTTCTAAAAAAGTACTACAATCCAAAACAGGTATTTACATATAAAGTGCATATGTATCTGCTTGCACACATAAATTGTACAAGTGTAATCCGTTTCGTTAAAGTGGCTGTTTGGCCTAGTCCCAGCAACATCGTCAAGCTTCCACCCCAGCTCCTGTGCTGTAGAATTGCAGCAAATGCTGGCCCTTGGGACCGCCTGGTCGTTTTCACTCACTAGTTATTTCTGGTTCAGTAAATCACACCAACACATACTCAGCAGGCCAGCCTTTTAATCACTACAGGGATTTTTTAAAAAGGTGGACATTTAACTTCCATTCAGAAAAATTTTGTTTTGATGCTTTGGCATTTGGGCTCCCAGATAATTTTTTATGATATTACACTTTATTTATTTATTTATTTATTTATTTTGAGACGGAGTTTCGCTCTTGTTACCCAGGCTGGAGTGCAATGGCGCGATCTTGGCTCACCACAACCTCCGCCTCCTGGGTTCAGGCAATTCTCCTGCCTCAGCCTCCCGAGTAGCTGGGATTACAGGCACGCCCCACCATGCCCAGCTAATTTTTTGTATTTTTAGTAGAGACGGGGTTTCACCATGTTGACCAGGATGGTCTCGATCTGTTGACCTCGTGATCCACCTGCCTCGGCCTCCCAAAGTGCTGGGATTACAGGCGTGAGTCACTGCGCCCAGCTGATATTACACTTTATAAAACTCCAAAATCTACTTAAAAAAGGAAGTAAGGCTGGGTGTGGTGGCTCACACATGTAATCTCAGCACTTTGGGAGGTCGAGGTGGGAGGACTGCTTGAGCCCAGGAGTTTGAGACCAGCTTAGGCACCCTGGTGTGGCCCTGTCTCTACAAAAAAATCTAAAAATTAGCCTGGTGTGGTGATGTGCACCTGTGGTCCCAGCTACTCGAGAGACTAAGGTGGGAGAACTGCTTGAGCCCAGGAAGTTGAGGCTGCAGTAAGCCATGATTGCACTACTAGACTCCAAGATTCAAACAAACAAACAAAACCCCCCAAAATTCCAAATAAAACGGAAGTGCTGAGAGTTTTGAAGTCTGACATAAAAATCTACCACACAAGTGTCTTAAAAGGGAATTATTTCTAAACATGCATCATTTAATGATCCTCCTAGCTCAAAACTATTTAATAAGTACTTACTGCGTTTCTACTACACTCTGTTGGAATCACTATTAAGGACACAGCAGATGCAAATCACTTCCTATGTCTATTTCTCTTCAGTTGTCAAACGGAATTTTATTAGGAGAAGTATGTTAATTTTTGAACTAGACAAAAAAATCAATTTAGCGATTCCATTCCTCTGGAAAAGGTATCATTTCTGGGATCAGATTCACACACGGGCCTTCCTTCTCACATTGTCTGGAATGAGCTGTGACCAGCAGCAGCTATCTCGCCGCCTCCATGTGGCCGTGCTTTGCGGAGGAGGGTGTCTGCTCAGGGAATGCTAATCCGAGGCAACAATGGCCGTGTGCCGCGGGGTGCTGGGCGCTGCACGAGGCCCGGAGTTTTCCTTTGGAAGCCCAAGGACTGCCCGTTCCTTGGAGAGGGCTGGCAAGCCAGTGGCCCCAGCCTTGAGTTTTGGGGAGCCCCCATCCTATCCTGGCAGACCAAGGAGAAAGAAGAGTTGCTACCATGCCAGGAATTAAAACGGGATGAGCCTAAAGAGGCAGGTGGGTGAACACGGAACAGTTTTACTGCTGTAAAATCTCTGATGAGGTTCTGTTCTTACAACAGAGAAAGTGTTTCACGTGCCCAGAAAGCCTGTGAGCACTGTACACAATCAGCAAACGAAAAATACCAACTGCAGACTGCCAATAGGGCAACACGTCTCCTTCAGATCTCAGACTTTTCAGTGGATCTTACTTAAACATTCCTGAGCCTGGACACTTGATGGCTTTGGGTCCCTTTGGTGCAGGCCTGTGAGATGGACGTAGACACCAGGTGTCCTCAGTGCTACCGTGCAGATACACACCTGCACAAAAGCCTAAACTTTGATCTTATTATCAACAAGCTTTCAATGCTGAAGCAAGGCAAAACGGCCTTTGAGTTTTCATAAAATAGGCATTTCAAAAGAGGAAATTTACTGCAATGAGGGTCTGAATGTTTTTAACATGTAGGAAATTAAATCTGCTTCTAAAGCCAGGACAGTACTATTACATTAGCTGTGCAGCAGAAAACTAAGCTAAGTATTCTGGGTTGGAACATCGGGGCCTGGGTTGGCAGGGTTTGCACCTTCTTTGCACTGGTGCCAAGTCAGAGTCCTGCATGTAACATTCATGCTGGAAGGACCCCACTGAAGCTGCAACCAGTCTCTTACCCTTGCAAAGTTATATTCACTTTATTTACTATATTAGTGGGAATTAAAAACACAAACGTTCTCTGCTTTTATGTTACTTAGAGATAGAAGAGAGAATAGGGTGAGCCCTCTGGAGGAGGATTAGGGTTCAGGCTGACAGTAGATGGCAGAATAGAGATGCTAGGGGCTTAGGTGGGGGCAGCCTTTCTCTGTGGTAAATGCAATGTTGCTTTTGGCGAATTCTTCAGGATTTTTTGTACGAGAAATTACAAAAGAAAGACAAATTACGAAAGAAAAGCATAAAGAAAAATTATGAAAGAAAACTTTGCATAGTTTTTTTTTTTTTGAGACGGAGTTTTGCTCTGTTGCCCAGGCTGGAGGGCAATGGCGTGATCTTGGCTCACTGCAACTTCCGCCTTCCAGGTTTAAGCAGTTCTCCTGCCTCAGCCTCCCGAGTAGCTGGGATTATAGGCATGTGCCATCATGCCTGGCTAATTTTGTATTTTTAGTAGAGATGGGGTTTCTCCATGTTGATCAGGCTGGTCTTGAACTCCTGACCTCAGATGATCCACCTGCCTTGGCCTCCCAAAGTGCTGGGATTACAGGTGTGAGTCACTGCACCTGGCCCTGCACACTTAAAAAAAAATTCTCTCCTTCTGTATCTTTCTTTACTTTCTATTTTTATTTACTTATTTGAGACAGGGTCTTGCTCTGCCACTCAGGACGGAGTGCAGTTGGTATGTTCATAGCTCACTCTAGCCTTGACCTCCTGGGCTTAAGCAATCTTTCCACTTCAGCCTCTTGAGTAGCTGGGACCACAGGTACATGTCACCATGCCCGGCTAATTAAAAAAAAATTTTTTTTTTCCTTTGGAGAGAGGAGGTCTCACTATATTGCTCAGGCTGGTCGCAAACTCCTGGCCTCAAGGAATCCTCCTGCCTTGGCCTCCCAAAGTGCTGGGATTAGGAGTATGTGCCACCTTGCTCAGCTCTTTTTCATTTTTGAATAGGAGAAGATGGGAGAGGAGAGGAGAGATAATTTTTTTTTAACATATTACTTTCTCAAGTAAAACCTCTGTGATAGTTAAAACTGAGTTTCAACTTGATTGGACTGAAGGATGCAAAGTATTGATCCTGGGTGTGTCTGTGAGGGTGTTCCCAAAGGAGATTCACATTTGAGTCAGTGGCTAGGAAAGGCAGACCCACCCTTGATCTGGGTGGGCACCATCTAATCAGCTGCCAGCAAGGCCAGAATAAAAGCACACAGAAGAACATGGAAGGACTAGACGGGCCTAGCCTCCAGCCTCCATCTTTCTCCCTGTGCTGGATGCTTCCTGCCCTCGAACATTGGACTCCAAATTCCTCAGCTTTGGGACTTGGACTGGCTTCCTTGCGCCTCAGAGCCTGTAAACGGCCTATTGTGGGATCTTGTAATCATGTGAGTTAATACTCCTTAATAAACTCTCTCTGTATCTACCCTATTAGTTCTGTCCCTCTAGAAAACCCTAATACAACCTCTTCGCCGGGTGCAGTGGCTTACATCTGTAATCACAGCACTTTGGGAGGTCGAGGTATCACCTGAGGTCAGAAGTTTGAGACCAGCCTGGCCAGCATAGCAAAACCACATCTCTACTAAAAATACAAGAATTAGCCGGGTGTGGTGCTGTGAGCCTATAGTCCTAGCTACTTGGGAGGCTAAGGCAGGAAAATTTCTTGAACCCACGGGGTGGAAGTTGCAGTGAGCCAAGATCATGCCACTGCACTCTAGCCTGGGTGACAGAGTGAGATCCTAGTCTCAAAAAAACCCCAAAAACAACAAACAAAAACCAACTTCTCACTCTTGAGTTTGGAGAAGACCTTAAATACAGGCAGAGGAGGAGTTAAGGCGTGTAACCTGCTGTAAAAAATACAGTAAAAAAAAAAAATCCCTAATAAGTTTTATTCTTTTCTTTCTTTCTTTCTTTTTTTTTTTTTGAGACAGAGTTTCGCTCTTGTTATCCAGGCTGGAGTGCAATGGCGCGATCTCGGCTCACTGCAACCTCCATCTGCTGGGCTCAGGCAATTCTCCTGCCTCAGCCTCCTGAGTAGCTGGGATTACAGGCACGTGCCACCATGCCCAGCTAGTTTTTTGTATTTTTAGTAGAGATGGGGTTTCACCATGTTGACCAGGATGGTCTCGATCTCTCAACCTAGTGATCCACCCGCCTCGGTCTCCCAAAGGGCTGGGGTTACAGGCTTGAGCCACCGCGCCCGGCCTCCCTAATAAGTTTTATTAACACCATCTCATTTTTCTTTTTCCTACCTAGACATGTCTTCAGTCAGCTAAGGAGAATAAAAGTTACACCTCCTGAACCTAAACCTTGATTGTGCTTGATGCTGAAGTGTGATGAGATTTGCTACATTTCCTTGGGAGCTCCCCAAAATCTCAGGCAGAGGCTTCTGGGGGCTGGAGGGAGAGCGTGCAGGGACGTGTCGCTCCACGAGGGCCCGGCAGGGCAGGGTAGGCCCAGCTCACAGCTCTGTAGCCCCTGCTGCCTCTGCAGCTGCAGTATAAGAAGAGCTCTTCTTGAATTTTGTGGGTGAAATGGAGGGAAACTACACATAGAATTTAAAAGCTTCAAGAAAGCAGAGACTAGAGCCAGCTTAACTCAGAAATTCAATGTTAAGAATTTCTCATGTAATTTCACTATAAAAATTACAATGTAACAAGAGAACTGTGAAAGACAGAAAGGGCCCAGGAGTGACAAGACCTATATTTTCTAGTCTTAACTGTGACTTTTAAAAGAGCATTCAAACATTTGAATTGGCTCCTAACATTCCTTGACACTCAAATAATTAAAAAAAAAAAAAAAACAAACCCAATTTAAAAAATGGGCAATGGATTTAAATGGACATGTCTGCAAAGAAGATATATATAATTTTTTGTGCGTGACAGGGTTTTACTCTCTTGCCCAGGCACACACCATCATGCCTGGCTAATTTTTGCATTTTTTTGTAGAGATGGGGTTTCACCATGTTGCCCAGGCTGCTCTCCAACTCTTGGGCTCAAGCGATTCTCCCATCTCAGCCTCCGGAGTGATGGGATTACAGGTGTGAGCCACCACACCTGGCCAAGAAGATATAAAAATTTTGGTCAGCAAGCACTGAATAGATGCTCAACATTCTTAGTCATTAGTGAACTGCAAATCAAAACCACACAAGATACTGCATCCAACTGCTAAGATGGCTATAATGAAAACAACAGGTCAGGCATGGTGGCTCACACCTGCAATCCTAGCGTGAGGGAGGCTGAGGCAGGTAGATCACCTGAGGTCAGGAGTCTGAGACCAGCCTGGCCAACATGGTGAAACTGTCTCTACTAAAAATACAAATATTAGCCAGGAGTGGTGGCGGGCACCTGTAACTCCAGCTACTCAGGAGGCTGAGGTAGGAGAATCGCTTGAACCCAGGAGGCGGAGGTTGCGGTGAGCCGAGATCGTGCCATTGCACTCCAGCCTCGGCGATACAGTGAGACTTTGTCTCAAAAAATAAAAAATAAAAAGTAAACAACAGCAGCAGCAGGAGCAGCAAGCACCGGTGAGGAGGCAGGAAACGGGAGCCTTTGTGCACCGCTGTGGGGACTGTAAACAGGGCCGTCGCTGTGGAACACAGCATGCTGGTTCGTCCAACAGCTAAACATGCAATTACCATGTGATTCAGCAATTCCTTTGGATATATATCCAAAGGAATTGAAAACAGGATCCATAACAAATATTCGTACGCCAGGATACAAATAGCCACATTATTCGTAATAGCTAAAAAGTGGGAAGAACCCAAGTGTACACTGAAAACACAACAGGTAAACACAATGTGCTCTATCCACATGGTAGAACAGCACTCAGCCGCGACGAGGAGTGAAGCTTTGATACACAGCACGAGGAAGAACCCTGGAAGACATGACGCTGCGTGAAATAAGCCCGCTGCAAAAGGACAAGCGTTTTATGATCACCTAGAGTGGTCAAATTCATAGATAAAGCAGATTACACGTTAGGGAGGCCTGGAGGTTAGCAGGGGCCAGAGCGAAGAGGAATGGGGAGTTACTGTTTAATGGGTAGAATTTCTGCTTGGGATGATGACAAAGCTTGGGAAATAGTGAAATGGTTGCACGACATTATGAATGTAATTAACGCTGGCGAACTGTACATTAACATGGTTAAAATCACGAATTTTATATGTATCGTATCACAATTTTAAAAAATCCAAAATGTAACATACCAAAAATCTTTGAATTGTACTCTTTAAATGGATGAATTGCTTGGTATGCGAATTATATCTCAATACAGTTGTTTCAAAAAATATTTAAATATGCTTAAACTGGCACCTGACATGTCTGGCTTTGTTAACACTGGCTATGATAGCCTTTTTATTTTTTATTTTTATTTATTTACTGTTTTGAGATGGAGATTCACTCTTGTTGCCCAGGTTGCAGTGCAATGGTGCAATCTTGGCTCACTGCAACCTCTGCCTCCCAGGTTTAAGCGATTCTCCTGCCTCAGCCACCCGAGTAGCTGGGATTATAGGCATTTGCCACCACGTCCAGCTAGTTTTGTATTTTTAGTAGAGATGGGGTTTCTCCGTTTTGGTCAGGCTGCTCTTTTTTTTTTTTTTTTTTGAGACGGAGTTTCGCCCTTGTTGCCCAGGCTGGAGTGCAATGGCACGATCTCGGCTCACCGCAACCTCCGCCTCCTGGGTTCAGGCAATTCTCCTGCCTCAGCCTCCTGAGTAGCTGGGATTACAGGCACGCACCACCATGCCCAGCTAATTTTTTGTATGTTTAGTAGAGACGGGGTTTCACCATGTTGACCAGGATGGTCTTGATCTCTTGACCTCGTGATCCACCCGCCTCGGCCTCCCAAAGTGCTGGGATTACAGGCTTGAGCCACCGCGCCTGGCTGGTCAGGCTGCTCTTGAACTCCCGATCTCAGGTGATCCACCTGCCTTGGCCTCCCAAAGTGCTGGGATTACAGGCGTGAGCCACTGCACCCAGCCCTGGTAGCCTTTTTATTTTTAATAAACATAAAATGTTAAGAAAATTACAAATCCTTTCATATAATTATGGAGGCTGGAAAAAAATTTACAAATCCACGCACTGAACAGCAGTAATCTAATGTTGACTTGTGATTCAATGATCATAAAACAGTTACAGTGTAACCTGGAAAGTATTTTCAAGATGGTAAAACCTCTTCCTTACAACAAGAATTTCAAACCCTAACTATAATTCCTCTGATCATAATCAGTTCAATATGTTGTCACACCAAGCAGATGTGAAACTACGAAATTACACACTAAAATTGAGTGGCTGCGACCGCCCAAGTGCTTTACATTTAAAAGAGTAAAGTGCAATGAGGGATGAGGCGGCCATCTCATTACATAAAATAATCACTGCAATAAAGGAACCTACAACTAAAGTCACTTTACTTTGAAAGCCTATCACCCCTGAATGAAATCAACCTGTTTATTAGTATTGCAATTTAAGATGAAAAAGTCTGAATGGCAATTTGGGGAATCAGATGTTGTAATATTTACATTTAGTGAAATACACACATCTTACAATACGAGCTAGCAACGGTACTTACTGGTTCCGTGAGGGTGCTGTCCTTCTCTAAAAACTGCACTACACAGTACGCCAGCTAAAAAGTAAAAGGAGAAACAGCATTAACATTTCAACACAGAAATGCTGCTGTGCTTTTCCTAGAATCTTCATTAAACACCTTCCTATGGCAAGACAAGGACCCACAGTACAGACAAAGCCATTGTGTAATTCTGATGTTGCCCCCAGGGTGTGCCACCCCAACCGCCCGGCAGGCCCCACAGGAGGCTCTGAGTGGGACTTTCAGGGAGGAAGCCCAGGAGCAATGACCAACAGATAAATCTTTCCCCATTAATTGGTGATAGATCAGAAAGGTGAAACATAAAAATAAGAAAAATAAATCAGAAGACAGTCTTTCTAGTGTAAACTATCACTAAGTCAATCCTGTATGATGGGGATTTTGTCGTGGTCCTTGAGATTACAATCCACAAGTAATCTAAAAGCAGGGAAAACAAATTACAATCTGGTTCCATCTTAAATCTCTCAACTATTAATTTCTTTTGTTCAACAATTAATATGATAATCTGACTGGATGCAAAGATATGACCAGTTAAGAGCAGTTGGAGAAAATAAGTATTTCCTAGGAAGAATCAATTAAAGAATGTACTTTTTGGCTGGGCCCGGTGGCTCACGCCTGTAATCCCAGCACGCTGGGGGGCCGAGGTGGGCAGATCACGAGGTCAGGAGTTCAAGACCATACTGCCCAACATGGTGAAACCCTGTCTCTACTAAAAAATACAAAAATTAGCTGAACATGGTGGCTCGTGCCTATAGTCCCAGCTACTCGGGAGGCTGAGGTAGGAGAATTGCCTGAACCGGGACCCAGGAGGCAGAGGTTGCAGTTAGCTGAGATGGGACCACTGCACTCCAGCCTGGGCTACAGAGCGAGACTCCATCTCAAAAAAAAAAAAAAAAAAAAAATGTACTTTTTGTCATTTAGCCCCTACCACAAGCCCTGAAAGTCGGGTGTGGCATAAAGGAGCCTTGTGCGCTCCTAGGCCTGTGCTGGGGTATGACTGCTCAGTGCCTGGCCCAGTGACAGTTGAAAGTGAACAAAGACACTGACTGCAGCCAAAGGGTGAAAGAAAACCAAATCTAGGTCAATGTAGCCCGTTAACCACTTAAAGTTTTCAGCACAGCTGTACTTACATTGCTATAGTTTTAAACATTCACAGTTTTAGTTTATTTATTTTTGAGATGCAGTTTTGCTTTTTACCCAGGCTGGAGTGCAATGTCGTGATCTCGACTCACTGCAGGCTCTGCCTCCCAGGTTCAATCGATTCTCCTGCCTCAGCCTCCTGAGTAGCTGGGATCACATGCATGTGCCACCATGCCCGGCTAGTTTGTATTTTTAGTAGAGGCGGGGTTTCTCCATTTGGTCAGGCTGGTCTAGAACTCCCAACCTCAGGTGATCTATCTGCCTCGACCTCCCAAAGTGCTGGGATTAGAGGCAGCTTTTATTTTTTTAAAAAACACTCTTTTTTTTTTTTGAGACGGAGTTTCACTCTTGTTACCCAGGCTGGAGTGCAATGGCGCGATCTCAGCTCACCGCAACCTCCGCCTCCTGGGTTCAGGCAATTCTCCTGCCTCATCCTCCCGAGTAGCTGGGATTACAGGCACGCGCCACCATACCCAGCTAATTTTTTTATATTTTTAGTAGAGACGGGGTTTCACCATGTTGACCAGGATGGTCTCGATCTCTTGACCTCGTGATCCACCCGCCTCGGCCTCCCAAAGTGCTGGGATTACAGGCGTGAGCCACCGCGCCCGGCCTAAAAACACTCTCATAGGCCATTCATTGGCCATGGACCTAAATAGGCTTTTCTCTTTAAGGTACTGAATTTCGATAATATTACAGAAAACTCCTCTCAGAAGTCTTCCTTGACTCCTTCCAGAGAATTACTTCTTTCTCTATGCTTAAAACTAATTTAAAAGTTCTGTATTACAGAGATTTTTCTGAATTTCTTAAAATGAATTTTTCTTTACCCCTTTATTCTTTCAATTATCACCAGGTTGTCACCAACGTCAGCAGTGTCATATGAAGAAGAAAGCACTCTTGGTTAAGGCTGGATTCACTATTCAGTCCTGTTCACATGTCAACAGTTGTGTTCCTGGAGCCTCCCCTGCCCCTTACCTGGGGATGGTAGACACTCAGAGATTTCACTTTGTGCAAAGGTAGTAACACCTTCAATAAGAAAATCTTGTGCTCTTCTTTTAGTGGTAAGGCAAATCCATTAATTATACTGTAAAAAGAACATTTATTCAGTTTGAACACTTACAAATTCCAGATTTTAAACAAGTATCTTGCTGTTTTTCTTTCAATTTTTGTTTTCAGCATCAAAACCCAGCAGGCAAAATATACAGAGCCAAGCATGTTACCATGTACTTGTGCCCCAGCTAACTTGGGAGGCTGAGGCCAGAGGAACATCTGAGCCAGGAGTTTGAGGCTGTAGTGTGCCATAATCGCACCTGTGAATAGCCACGTTCTCTAGCCTGGGCAGTATAGCGAGATCCTATCTAGGGGGTCTGTGGAATATGTCATAAAGTGCTCCAGCCCCTGCAATAGCCTAGGAGGGAAGTACGGTGATTCCTCCTATATATATATACATACGTGTGTGTGTGTGTGTGTGTGTGTGTGTGTGTGTGTATCAGAAAAAAGAGGCTACCAGCAAAAGTTTAAAAATATTAAATGCCTTCGAGGAAGCATAATTATTTTTATCTCGGTAACTACACGATAATTTAAAAAATTCTGGGTTTACAGGTGTTACCCAGAACAGCAGAAAGCTGGCTCAACAGCAGGAGCTCCTGGTGGCAAAATCTTCCTCCCTAAACATGCCAGGAAGACGGGACAGTTCACATGGGACCCCCAAACCCAGCACCTTGCCTCAGTCTTATCCATCTTCAGGAATTCTTGCTGCCTAGAGTAATTCAGGGTCGTTATTTTAATATTGGTAACTGAGACCCGGTGGGTGCTGAATGAGTGTTGGTTAAAAATGAGTTAGGGCTGGGAGTGGTGGCTCACACCTGTAATCCCAGCATTTTGGGAGGCTGAGGCGGGTAGATCATCTGAGGTTAGGAGTTCAAGACCAGCCTGGCCAACATGGTGAAACCCGGTTTCTACTAAAAATATAAAAATCAGCTGGGCATGGTAGCGCACGCTTGTAGTCCCAGCTATTTGGGAGGCTGAGGTGAGAGGATCGCTTGAACCCGGGAGAAGGAGGTTGCAGTAAGCCGAGATCATGCCACTGCACTCCAGCCTGGGCAACAGAGGAGACTCCATCTCAATTAAAAAAAAAAAAAAATCAGTTAGAAAGCTGTTCCTTGTGCAAGGAAAGGGGGTCCTACCTAGAGCCTCCAAAGCAAAGTTTTTGTCTCAAACAACTAGTTTATTGTCTCGGTTTTATAATTAGGCAAATGCAAGTGACTGTCACTGAGCTGCAGAAGTAGACACAGCCGTCTCTAACTTGGTCTTCTCCGCTCGGCATGGCGGGCAATGCGGGAAGGGTGAGCCTAGAGCGGCCCATCAAGGAGGGCGTGCTCATTCACAGGGTCACCTGCAGGCTCAACCTCTTGTCTGGAAGAAGAAAACTAATCAAGCCTCTTGTCAGGAGCTGCACGGGGGTCCCATGCACACGGCGTGGCGGGCTGTGGAACACACATGACACAGCGCTCCTGTCCCTGCAACAATCTAGGAGAGCAATGCAAGGATTCCTCCCATCTTATAGAAGTACCTGCCCATGGTCACGCAACTAGCTAGGGGCATTCTCTTCACCACTCACTGCACTGCACTGCACTGCACTGAGAGAACCCCACCACCCCAAGTTTGTCTAAACTAATCAAAGTAGAATTCTAATGAGGACATTTTTTCAAATCACATCTAAAATGACAAGAATAGCCTTTCTCAGAACTATTGGGCAGGACCTGATGCACCATGAGAAAAGAGTCTTGTGCTCAGGAGCTGCAGGGAGTCACCAGTCCACCCAGCGTGCTGGGCTTCTCCACCGAAGGCTCCTGAGAACCCCCACCTGCCCATCTACACTATGCCCCTAAAAAGGGGCAGGAAAAAGCACTCCCACCCTTACTAGCCGTGGAACCCTGAGGAACTCTGGGAAACAGTGGGTTAGAAGGTCTAATATAAAATCTACAGGTTATCAATTAAAAAAAAAAAGTGGCCGGGCATGATGGCTCATGTCTGTAATCCCAGCACTTTGGGAGGTGAGGTGGACAGATCACTTGAGGCCAGGATTTCGAGAACAGCCTGGCCAACGTGGGGAAACCCTATTTCCACCAAAAATACAAAAATTAGCTGGGCGTCGTGGCAGGCACCTGTAGTCCCAGCTACTCAGGAGGCTGAGGCAGGAGAATCGTTTAAACCCGGGAAGCGTAGATTGCAGAGAGCCGAGATCACACCACTGCACTTGAGCCTGGGTGACAGAGCAAGAGTCTGTCTCAAGAAGAAAAAAAAAAAAAAAAAAAAAAAAAGCAAGTAATAACTTTACTTGGATAAGATGATGAAAGTTTTGAAATGTTAATTATTTTATATGTATACATATAAAAAAGAAAGTAATTGAAAATATTAGCATTTACACAATACCCCTAATGTACAATCTATTCTTCTTCCAAGCTTCTAATATAAACCTTCTTATGTAACTATTTTTAACATTGCTCTTGAGGAAATAACTGGAACTGGGTTTCCATAGTAATGATACTGAGGTATATGAAGTAGAATCTCCATACAGAACCATAAAAATGGGAGAGATTTGTCATTTGGCATGTTTTAATCTAAGAGCTCACCAACTCCTTCTTTAAGTGAAATTTTATTTAAATTCTTTTAGAGAGTGGTTTAAATTGCCTTGCTTTAAAGGGGGCAGCTGAACTCAATGAAATGGATCACTCCTGTGTAAATTCCATCTATGGCTATTTGCTACTCATAACACAACACAGAGGCTTACCTTCCCAGTATTTCCAGTAATTCTGCTATGCCATTATGATGCTCTGTTTCATAAATAAACCTAGAAAAAACCAATTTTCCAATTAGAATTAAGACACTGAACTAACCTGAATAAGAAAACAATGCCGTAGGAGGAGCCTCGGAGCCAGGCAACAAGAAGCGTCTACTTGTGCAAACACTGCTCGTGGTGAGCAAGGAGCCCTTCAGGAACCAGAGAAACTCCTCAAGGCCTGGAGGTGTACACGCCTTGAGGGCAGAGAGCTCAGTCTTGTACACATGTTTTCCTCAATATTTTATTTTGAAAAATTTCAAGCATCTAGGAAACCTGAAGGAATTCTACAGGGAGCAGCCATTTCAAATGTGTACCATCTGCTTGATCACACACACATCTGTCCATCCATCCTTTACTTGTTCATTAATCCATCTTACATTTTTGCCGTATTTCAACATAAGTCAATGTCTTACTTAGTTTTAAAGCCTACAGTATTTAGCACAGTTCTTGCAAAGGGCAGAAGTGATTCCTGAACACCTCCTGGTCTACCTGCCTAGTTCCCCACTGACACCCACACACATCCTCTGTACTGCCTCAGGTGTGATCTTTCTGAAGCACCCATCTGCGATAGACCCAGCTCCCTTCCTCTGAGAAGTCTCTGTCCACTGCGCCTGCTTCTGGTGGACCCCCAAGAAATGTACCCCACCGTCTGTGTCAGCCCGTCTCCCTCCAGATGGGGTCACTGTGAAGACAGGGCCAAGGACTTTTCGTGACTATGTTCCCAGGGCTAGGAGCAAGCCTGGCATCTGTTTGATGATGAGAACACATCTGTTGAATAAACCAGGGACAAGGAGAGGGAACAGTGACATGTTAGGAAATGGGAAAGTGTCCTCCCACAAAGGGGTCCCACAGAAACAAAGAAGCCTCTCCTGCGCCAAGCCTCATGCACCTGGGGTTGGTCTAGAGCAACCCACAAGGAGTATCCTGCAGGAAGTGAGAGGATCTGAAAGATCCCTGCCCATCACTTGAAAACCATTTGTTTAGAGACAGCTCTAAGCCAAAAATAAATTTGAGCGGATTAAAAAATTCAACTTTGAAATTTTTTTTTTTTGAGACGGAGTTTCGCTCTTGTTACCCAGGCTGGAGTGCAATGGCGCGATCTCGGCTCACCACAACCTCCGCCTCCTGGGTTCAGGCAATTCTCCTGCCTCAGCCTCCCGAGTAGCTGGGATTACAGGCACGCCCCACCATGCCCAGCTAATTTTTTGTATTTTTAGTAGAGACGGGGTTTCACCATGTTGACCAGGATGGTCTCGATCTCTCGACCTCGTGATCCACCCGCCTCGGGCTCCCGAAGTGCTGGGCTTACAGGCTTGAGCCACCGCACCCGGCTCAATTTTGAAATTTCATTCACTTCATTTGAAACAAATGAAATAGTATGACTTTAAAGAGGCCAAATACCCACAGATGTGAAATATTTTTGAAGAATGGGTCTTAACTTATCTATTTCCAAATGATCAGAATTCACTTAGGCTGGTGCTTGAATTGGGTCCCGAAGGAGGATTTTAACAGATAGATTTTTTTTTTTTTTTTTTTTTTTGAGAAGGGGTTTCACTCTTGTTGCCCAGGCTGGAGTGTAATGGTGCAATCTCGGCTCACCGCAACCTCTGCCTCCTGGGTTCAAGTGATTCTCCTGCCTCAGCTTCCTGAGTAGCTGGGATTACAGGCATGTGCTACCATGTCCGGCTAATTTTGTATTTTTAGTAGAGACGGGGTTTCTCTATGTTGGTCAAGCTGGTCTTGAACTCCCAACCTCAGGTGATCTGCCCACCTCAGCCTCCCAAAGTGCTGGGATTACAGGTGTGAGCCACCATGCCCGGCCTTAACAGACTTTTTTTTTTTTTTTTTTTTTAATGGCAGTGTGGAGAGGGAGAACTCCTTTGCTGGAACAGATCCGTGACATGGAGTGAGGTGGGCAAGATGCATGGAGAGGCTGGTAGGCCAGCTTAGAAAAAACAAAATCTGGCTGGGCACAGTGACTCACACCCATAATCCCAGCACTTTGTGACGCCAAGGCAGGTGGATCACCTGAGGTCAGGAGTTCGAAACCAGGTTGGCCAACGTGGTAAAACTCCATCTCTACTAAAAATATAAAAATTAAACAAAAAAATTACAAAAACGAACAAACAAAAAAAAAAAAAAGAAAAAAATATAAAAATCAGCTGGGCGTGGTGGTGCATGCCTGGAGCCCCACATACTTGGGAGGCTGAGGTGGGAGGATCACTTGAACCCGGAAGGTAGAGGCTACAGTGAGCTGAGATGGTGCCACTGCACTCCAGCCTGGGCAACAGAGTGAGACTGTGTTTCAAAACAAAAAAACCCAAAAAGCCAAGATCTGTTTTTGCCGGTGCCAGGAAGCAGAACCTTTAGCAGCCAGACACAGTAGCACTACAATGCATGTGGCCACAGCATGAGAGTGAGGCGGGGACGTTAACTGGGGCAGAGCCTGGAGCCATGGGTGACAGGAACGACAGCGGTGCCGGGGCCAGAAACAGAAAGTGCTCTCACCCGGTGTCCCTGAGCCTGCACCTACCTGAGGCTTGGAGGCTGTGACCAAGCAGAAGTCAGTCCATGTGTGTCTACACTGAGAGGTGCTTTAATTTACCAAACTCACCCTACAGGCTACCTTTGCATACGCTGGGGCCAAGCCGCTTCGGTTTACTACCCCTCTAGCAAGTACCTTGTAGAGCTGTGCTCTGGGCGCTCAGAGACAAAGACCTCAGAACCCCTTCTGCTCTAGCTCCATCAGCTTTAACATTTACATAACGGTGGCCTCTAGCTGTAAGCCGTTTTGTTTTCCTAAATCAACATGACCACATTCTTACTGATACATTATTGATTTGTAATTTCTTACACCTGCTTTGAAGTAGGTAGAAGAAAGAAAATCAGGACAGCTCCTCTCCTTCTTCCCTGTCCTGTGGAAGACAAACAGGGACAATGGGAGGGAAACAGAGAACCCTGGGAGCCGGCGAGAACGTTTCTCACTCTTTCAGCAGAAAGGGAATCAGACCCCCAGACACTGAGCTGGCACCTGCTGGCTGCAGAAGTCTCCAGAATGGATTCCTCAATGCCTTTCCTGCTTGTATGATGTGTTCTGGCCTTGCGGGAAGAGGTGGACTCTATTTCTCCTTCCTCTGAAGCTGGGCTGTCCTTGCGCCCTGCTTTGACCAATACAAAGGGCAGATGTCACTCTGCACTGGTTCCAAGCCAAACCCTTAGCACTGGGGCTCCTGCCTCTCCCCTCCTGGATGGGGCCGTGGCTGCAGGAACTCCCATAACCTGGAGGAGCTCCAGCACAGCACAGAAGGGGCGTGGGGACCTGCTCAGCAGCCCCTGTGAACACTCCAGCCCCAGCACACGCCACGGAGCAGAACGGTCTGGATGAGCCCAGTGCAGATGACAGCATCATGAGGGATGATGAAGCATGGCTGACAGAAGCCAGCGAGCTGGGAGTGGCTCCTGACTCCAGGATGGCGTGAGGTAGTGATACATTCTGGCGATGATGGGGACAGTATGACAGCATCTCTCTGTGAGATAAGAGCATGAGCAGGTGCTGCACAGCCTCACTGCAGGGCCAGAATGAGGATGAAGCATGGGCCATGTTCTTGTTGCACAACAAGAGAAGGAACTGCACACTGCCTTGCCCACCCAGCCTCCAGGTCCCATGGTGTGCCAGCAGGCATCACGGGTAATTGACAGCACCATTCAACTCACACTAAAGCTGATGAGAATGAGAAACTATAGAAATAAATAGCAACCTTATATTTACATTTTCAGTGAAACGGAACCAAATATGTTCAAAATGTATTTTCCTTACAAGACATAGCTGTACTATATTGAACTTAGATGAGCTGGCTGGGTATGGTGGCTCACACCTGTAATCCCAGTACTTTGGGAGGTTGAGGTAGGAGGATCACTTGAGGCCAGGAGTTCCAGATCAGCCTCGGCAACACAGTGAGATCCCCATCTCTACCAAAATGTAAAAAATGAGCCAGATGTGGTCACATCTGTAGTCCCACCTACTTGGGAAGCTGAGGGGGAAGAATCCCTTCAGCCCAGGAGTTTGAGGTTGCAGTGCGCTATGATAGCATCACTGTACTCCAGCCTGGGTGACAGAGTGAGACCTGCCTTAAAAAAAGAGAAAAGAAAAAAACTTGGGTGAGCTGAATACATCTCTCAAGATCTTTCTTCTTTTTTTCTCGCATGAAATGAGGGGGTAGTGGTACTGACAATGAGGACCCAAACCAATTGTGGAATCTAGACAGCATGCTTGCTGTTGATTGCATATGCAGGACAATTACAGAAGAGGTTACTCAATGCATGCACACAGACACGAATGCCATACTCCAGCACCGAACCTTTAGCGAGAACTGAACTAAATTATGTGTAACGACTTTTGAATACTACTCTACTTAAGTATTTCGTTAGGTTTCTGGAAGGCATGAAACGTTTTCTACTTTTTACATGCAGATGTTCAATACATTTGTGATTCTGCTATCTGAACAAAACCTACTAGTGTTAAGAAAACAAATCAGTAGGTAGAGCTTTAATTTTGGGTCAAAAAGACTGAAATTTAAATTTTACCTGTTGTATGTTAATTAAATAATGTATATTATTGTTTTCATAGAGAAGTACATCAGCCAAGTAATGATCTTTTTCAAAAGGAATCATGATACCAAGAAATATAAAATAGAAACATAACATTTAGGAAAATGACATCATTCTCTGGTTATAGCTGATGTGTCAGGTCTGGGCTATGTCCAGCACTGGGCTCCATTTTATAAATGAGATGTGGGGAACTTGGAAGGAGTTCAAAGGAAAGCCACACATGAAATGAAAGGCTCTCAGGCTGAAATGCCCTATCAGGTGTGGAGACCGGGGAGGGAATGAGACCCCAATGACTGCAGATGGGCAGGATGGGGCGCCCCCGACACAGGCCGCACAGCAGGCCGGCACGGGATGGGGAGCCGGGGCTGTGGGTCTCAGCAGAGGTCTCACTTGCCATCTGTCTCAGATGCCCCTTTATTTTTCCCGTGCTTGATCACTGTGACTGAGAAAGGACCGAGGCCTGTGTTTGCCGTGGCTGACACCTGGTCCTTCCCCAGGACATCGCCCGTGCTCTGTCCACACCCTGGCCCTGCAGCGAGGCTGTGTGGCACCTGCTTGTGCTCTTATCCCAAGGAGAGATGCCATCCTACTGCCCCCATTATCACCAGGATATGTTACTATCTCTCATCATCCTGCAGTCAGGTGCCTTAGAGGCAAGCTGACCTGAGAAGCTACAATTTATAGAGGAAACTGCTCATTTAGTAAGCTTTCCAGGAACAAATAAGAAACAACAGGAACTGTTTCCTCTATTGACATTTACTTGGTGCCACCGCAGGGTGGGACGTGAAGCTGGCACTGGGGCGGGGCATGCAACAAATCAGCCAACATCATGGCTGCCCTTGTTGAAGACCAGACTCACCGCCAAGTCAGACAGAGCCTCCAGTGAAGGGATGTTTCAGGAAGCCTGGGAGGCTAAGGGAAGGGCTGGTGGAAAAAGACATCCTGGGTGGCTCAAACACTGGCTGCAGAGCTGTGATGTGGAAGGAGCCTGGGAGCTGAGCAGAGGCTGGCTGGGGAATAGGCGGGCCTGGAGGTGGGCCTGCCACTGGACGCTGTCCTCCTCCAGCCGCTGCTCCAGGGGGCTTTCCCTCCCCTGACACACAGTGGGAATCTCCAAATCTTCAACCAAGGTGCACAGATCTCAGGCTTTCTACAGATGAATGACATCATTCCTGCCCCACCTTCTCTGACTGAGACTCCGTGGGAAGAATGAGGTGAGGCACAGATGGAAGGGAAAAGCTGGCGTGAGGGTTAATACTGAGTGTCAACTTGATTGGATTGAAGGATGCAAAGTATTGCTCCTGGGTGTATCTGTGAGGGTGTTGCCAAAGGAGACTAACATTTGAGACAGTGGACTGGGAGACGCAGACCCACCCTCAGCCTGCGTGGGCACCATCTATCAGCTGCCAGCATGGCTAGAATAAAGCAGGCAGAGGAATGTGGAAGGGCTAGACTGGCTGAGTCTTCCGGCCTCACCTTTCTCCCATGTTGGATGCTTCCTGAACTCCAACATAGACTCTAAGTTCTTCAGCTGCACCGTCGGCCTGCCTACTTGTGAGCTTTTGGGACTCGGACTGGCTTCCTTGCTCCTTATCTTGCCTATTGTGGGACTTCACCTTGTGATCGTGTGAGTCAAATCTCCTAATCAACTCCCCTCCAAACGTTCATCTATGAGTCCCGTCCTTCTAGAGAACTGTGACTAATACAGTTGGTTTCGATGGAACCAATGCATCTACCTTTCTATGAAACTAGACCTTTCAGTAGAAACAGGAACAATGGAGGGACCCAGGGTGTGGCGCTGGGGAGCCGGGTGGCTCCGGAGGGAGCTGTGGGGACAGGGGAGGAAGGCAGGGAGGATGAGCCCGGCCGGCCCACGCACGCAGTGCATGAGGGGGTCCACCAGCACGCAACACACAGGCTTCGAGAAACCCCTCCACACAAGCTGGGTCCCGTCAGAGCAGACGACGGGGTGGGGAGCGTTGGGCGGGGAAACGGAAAAGGACAACGCCACCCATACGCAACTTACCTATAAAATATATTATTTATCTGTTTTCTGATGTAAGCTCTCAAGCCTAGGAATTTTCCATAGATTCTGTGAAGGGTGGTTTTAAGAAAATCTCTCTCCCGAGGATCTTCACTGTCAAAGAGCTCTAAAAGCTTTGAGAAGAAAAAGACACTTAGTGGCTGCGTGTCACCACTCCGCCAGGGCTTTGACAGGGCCTGCTCATTTGTACCTTACCTGCAATACAAACTTCTGATCAATATATTTCTTCGCTATATTAGGTTGGAAATCTGGAGACTCTAAAAATCTTAAGAAAAATTCATAAACAAGCTAGGAGGAAAAAAAAAACAACAAGTCAAATAACGTGAGATTTTATTGACTGGAGAGTAAAATACACTAGGAGTTGAATCTTCATTTGCCTGCAAATATTAGCCTCTTAAAGCCGCATATCTACACAATTAATGAAAAATTACATGGCTTAATTTAATTATAAATGGTGATGGCAATTATTTTATTTGGTGAGACCCATAGACTATATCCTTAAATGGCATTTAAACAAAACAGTGTCCATGGCTGATGTCAGAGAGTTCTAGTACACTGTTCAGAGACCACAGGGCACAGATGCCACAAACCACGCCACAGCCCAACTCTGTGGGGGGCAGATTTGCCGCCTGTCACCTAGGAGTGTCCCACAGTGCCGAGGCGCAGAGCCAACCAAATGCATAGGAACTCTGGGGCTGCCAGGTAAGAGGGCCCTAAGATGCGGACTCTGAACCGTGACCTGAAGCTCGGATGTGCTGGGTGGGACAGTGTGGCCTGCCTGTCCCTGAGGGATGGCCCTCCCACCTGCATGCCTGGTTCCTGCTTTGCTCATGCTGGCCTTGGTGCCCCCTTGCCAATGCCCTTCTGCCTTACAAACACCCTGGGGAAAGGCAGTAACCAGCACAGGAACCTGGGTGCCCCGCAGGCACACATCAAATATGAATACCAAAAACTGGGAGCTTGTCAGCTTAAGACCTCTGGGCCCAAATTCAACAGCCATCAACAAAGTAGCCATTTTCATTGAGAACATACGGACAATTTCACATCTTCATTGGCTGTGTAAAGTGGTCAAACATACACATTAACTTTTCTCTATTCTGCTGAAATTCTTTGCTCATATGTATGGGTTTGCAAGGACCATGCTACTGAGGAAGAGAGGTCCAACTGCCCGAACCAGTGCGCCTGCTCTGTGGACCCCAGGCCACTCCCACACATCACTGGTGCCCTCTGATTCTGGTCACCCCAGAGCCCAATACCTGTAGATGAGGCCAGGCTGCTTCTAACGTTGGTTCGTCTTCCTCTGGGTCAAATTCTGCTCCCGTGGGATTAGACGAAGGTGGTAATGTTCGGAACATGTTAACTGCAAACTAAAATCCGCATGTTCTATAATTACAACCAGGGCATTCAAAATATTTGCAAAGAACATTTTAAAAAGTCTCAAGTAATTCTAACAGTAGCCACTTCCCATGGTAACTTAGCTCCTCCTCGTCCTCAAAATCCAGAAGCCAAGTGGGTCCCCAAAGACAGCCCGGATCAAAACTGCAGCAGGAAACACTGCTTTGGACAGGTGACCACGAAAGTTGACCACCAAAGTTACTTGCACTCTTAACTGTCAAACTTTAAATGACACGCAACACCAACAAAGCCTGATGGCACAGTGATGGCTTCTGAGGTCTGACACTATCCAGTGGGTGCAAGAGCAAGAAGAGTGTTCAAAATGAGAGTAAAAAAAGGACGACATGACGAAGGCTCCAGCAGAGTCACAGCTGAAAATGCCGACAAGTGGCAAGTGCTGCGTCACGCTGGGAGGACCCGTGAGACGACTGCACCGATAAACACTGCAGTCAGCAATGACGAGGAAAGCAACAGTCAGGGCGGGACGACTTCTGAGTGGCTAGGATCGTTTCTGAGAAAGGACTGCTCAGGGGCACAGAGAGCACTGCTGGAGGGCAGCCTGGCTGTGCATCCCAGCGTGGGCTGTTGGATTCCTCTCAGTCTGTTTGGACTTGTATTACACATACTGACAGATCAGTGACATAAATAGAAAAGATTAGTGTTTCCATGCCATAAATTATAACCTATTTTTCTTTTGTACTGAGTCTATTTATTTATTTTTGAGACAGTGTCTCCCTCTGTGGCCCAGGCTGGAGTGTAGTAGTGCGCACTCGGCTCATTGCAACCTTTGCCTCCCGGGTTCAGGCGATTCTCCTGCCTCAGCCTCCCGAGTTACAGGTGTGCACCACCACGCCTGCCTTATTTTTCTATTTTTAGTAGAGACAGGATTTCACCATGTTGGTCAGGCCGGTCTCAAACTCCTGACCTCAGGTGATTCCCCCCTCCTCAGCCTTCCCAAGTGCTGGGATTACAGGTGTGAGCCACCACACCCTCTTTTGTACTAAGTCTAAACATGATTCGTTACCTTACTGAACCTCTGAATGAATCATGTGCCAGCTATATAACTGGGCTCTGGTGCATGGCTCTTACAGGTGATCACAAAAAGCCCCAGTTCCACCACTCTCAAAAGCACAAAATCAAAACTTTTGACACAAAAGATTAAAATCTGACTTTACAACAACGATGGGAAGGTGTTTCTAGAGAGTCCAGGGCAAACTTGGCTGGCTTTAGATAACCAGTCTTGTAAAGATCAAGCTAATTCTAAATGTTACCCCCCCATCCCCCGGCTTTTTTTTTGAGATAGAGTCTCGATCTGTCACCAGGCTGGATCTTGACTCACTGCAACCTTCATCTCCCAGGTTTAAGCAATTCTTCTGCTTCAGTCTTCTGAGTAGCTGAGACTACAGGTGCACGCCACCACGCCTGGCTAATTTTTTTATTTTTAGTAGAGATGGGTTTCACCATGTTGGCCAGGATGGTCTTGATGTCTTAACCTTGTGATCCACCCACCTTGGTCTCCCAGAGTGCTGGGATTACAGGCGTGAGCCACTGTGCCCGGCCTCTTTTCTCCTCTTAAAGACAGGATGTTGCTCTGCTGCCCAGGCTGGAGTGCAGTGGCCACCACAGCTCACTGCAGCCTCAACTCCTGGGTTCAAGCAATCTTCCTGTCTCAGCCTCCCAGGTAGCTGGAACTACCAGCGCACACTACCACTTTTTGTTAATTTTATTTACTTTTTGCAGAGACAAGAAATTGCTATGTTGCCGAGGCTGGTTTTGAACTCCTGGGCTTAAGCAATCCTCTTGCCTTGGCCTCCAAAAGTACTGGAATTACAGGCGTGAGCCACTGCACCTGCCCATTTCTTCCTTTGTTTACTGTTATTAATACTGAACTCCAAACCTTAGTATCATTTTTTCAGAAAGCCCTCAGCTATAAAAGTGCTGAGCATCAAATGCTTGTTCTCTGTGTCATCTGAGGGGAGCCAGCATTCAGGATCAACCGTAATGGCCTTCAAGGACAATGCAGAAATGCAGGGAGGAAAAAAGGGGCTGAAAAGCCAGAAACAACTAATTAAAAAAAAAAAATTTCCAGTAAAAGTATGAGTAATGTTCCTAAGACACAGGTACAAGGAAAAAAGTCTGCAATCCAAACCAAAAGTTAACGTGACTCTCACTGGGGTATGATTTCTGGCAATTACTACTCTCCAGGGATTGTCCTCTTCACTGTGATGCTGGTGTGTGTACAGGGCACTGCAAGGGAACCCCAAAGAACAGTGGTTGGCAGGTAGATAGCCCTGCCTCAGTTGCTGGCCCATGGGCACTCGGTGCAGACAGGGGATTAGTCTGCCCCTCCTGGTGCCCTGACCCCAAAGTCCACAGATGTGAGCAAGGAGATGCGAAGAGCTCAAATTCTAAGGAAAGACCATACACACGCTTGGGGTGGCTGCCGTCTCCCAGGGTATGTGGAGAAGCAATAGAACTGGTCCTGTCATCAGCAGCCACTGCCCAAGCTCTCCGTATCTCCTAGGGCCATGAAGGACAGATACAGCAAAGTCTGAACTGAGTCTTTAGCCCCTGTGGGGAGTGTGGCATTTGTGAACTGGGGTTTTCTATGCTCTCTCAAAGCCAAAAGATTGGGGTCAGGGCCCAGTCACCCACAGACCAGGGTCAGCTTCAGGAAAGGGAGATGGCACTTGGGTCTTCAGTGGGTTAGAGCTCTGGGCCCTGCCTGGTGCCAACAGGAGCAGAGCACCGTGTGGGGAGGGCAGAGCCTGGGCACGAAATCTGGCTGGCAGAGGGGTCTGTGAACAGGACCAAGCCTGTGGGAACAGCCTGTGACATCAGGCCCTGAGGAACCATGGAGCCTGGAAGGAGAGCGGGGCCGCCTCCTCCGAGGTTTCCAGGGTTGCCCATTAGGGACAGAGAGGCCAGAGCAGGAGCTGCAGGGCCACCCAGGAAGCTGCCAAGGGAGAGGGAGGTCAGCGCACCCAGAGAGGAGGCTGTCGGCCTCAGAGGAGAGGAAACAGCTGCCTCTCTGAGAGAAGCCCACTGCCCGTGAGTCACAGACATACAGCAGAGGAAGAGACCACCATGCTGGCCGAGGCCACAGGGAGCAAAGCAGAACAGGCAGCTGCTCTTCCCCTCTGCTCTGGGTTCTGCTCAAAGCCCCAGAGGAGGGAGGACAAGAGGGACTCAGAGCCAACCCTGCTTCCCCTCCTCTCCCACGGCATGTCCCGCGCTGGCCAGGACGCCTGGGGTGTGGCTTACATGCCATGGAGAGGGTCTGAAATTTAAAGCTTTAACCTAGATGGGATTTCTGTAACTGGGGATGGCTAAAAAGTTAACCAACTTGCCCAAGATGTATTTAGGGTCAGGAAAGTGTGATGTCACCAGTCATGGTCAAAGGCGATAGCTGAAAAAGGTAAAATGTGCCGCACTGAGACAGCTGGCTAGGGCACAGTGTCCAGCTGTGCAAACACTGCTGTGAGTGTTGCTGTAAAAGCATTTTATAGATGTGGTTAACACTGAGAATCAATGGACTTTAAGTGGCGATCACCCTTGAGAATGTGGGGGCCTCATCCAGTCAACTGAGAGGCTTGTGAGACCCAAACTGCGGCATCTCTAAGGAGAGTCCCCCACGGCCCAGTCTCCCGTCTGCTGCTTGTCCGGGGAGTCCAGACCCGCCTGCCGGACTCACCCACGGCAGAAGGTAAGTCCCTGAGATCGCAATCGCTGTCTCCCTGCTGTTTTGTCTGGATAGCCCCGACTGAGGCACCCAGTCAGCTGAGATTCCTAAGTAAACTGGTGTTTTCTACTGGCAGGAAAGCTAGTGATTAGGGTTTCCAGTGGAAGCTCTCCCGTGCAGTTGATAGTCAGCCCAGTAGCCAGGCCCCATCTCAAACACCTGCAACTCACTGAATCCTCGATGCTGAGCTGACAGCCTGCAAAGTGACTCAGACGGCCTGCTCTGAACACCACGTCCTCTCTTCAGTATCTGTCTGGGACTCAGTAATTGTGCCCCCACTTCCTTAAATTTATATATTAAAGACCTAAATCCTGGCATGGCTGTATTTGGAGATGGGGCCTCAAAGAAAATAATTAAGGGTAAATGAAGTCATAAGGGTGGGGCCCTGCCCCTCCAGGATCAGTGTCTTTGTAAGAAGGGATAGTAGAAGGCTTGTACTCACCTTCTCTGCACTTGCTCAGAGCAAAGGCCATGGGAGGGCACAGTGGCCGTCTGCAAGCCTGGAAGAGGCCCTCAGGAGGGAATAAACCCTGCTGGAACCTTGAACTTAGACTGTCCAGCCTCCAGAACGGACAGAAGATACACTTCTGTGGTTTAAGCCACCGCGTCTGTGTATTTTGTTAGGGCAGCCTGAGCCCTTGACTGATGGCTGACCTAGGCCCAGGAAGGCTCTTTCCAGGCCAGTGCTGATGGACTCAAAGGCATTCTCATGTGTAAGAAAATCTGCACGCCTAACTTCTACACACCTTTCTCACCACATTATACTGCATTAATTTAGTGCACATTTCTAGAAAAGGTTAAATAAAAAGTAATATTTGGGGGGAAAAAGGAACAGAAGGCAAACAGCGTGACACCTCAAATTATTCTTGGGTTTCTAACTTAGCAACATATCTTAGCACAAAAGCTTCAGGGAAAGATCAGAGGCAGGAGGCTCAGGTACAGAAATTTGGGGTGATGCCGTCTGTGTGCAAATGTCACTACCATGCTACCTGGACACATGGATCCGGTCTGAGGAAACAGAGAAGACGTCAACATCGTGTGGTGAACAGCAAAGCAGCTCTGAGGTCTATGGAGTACCGGGCCTTCAGTGCAGCACACAGATTCACTGTGATCTCTCAAAGAAGACCTACGGATCCAGCGCATACCCAGAGGCACGGATGTAGAATCACGTTGCCCAAGAAAGGCGGCACAGCCTCATGGAAACAGTCTCTCTACATCCTCTTCCCACCT